TCATGTACATTGACTTTTTTTTTCTCGAGTCCTATTTATTTTAGTGATCTATTGGGCACTGTACAACTGTAAGGTATTAGTTAGATAAATAACTAGATAGCTCCCCAATGAAATGTATAGTTACTTAAAATGGTCTTGGGGATGAACTGATAATAACATGAGAAAAAGGTTCATAGAGCATTAAGAAAAAAAGTAGTGCATAAAATGATATAGGCAGCATGATCAGATTACATTAAAATATCTTAAAAACAAACAAAGAACCAGCAGGAGATGCACCCAGAAGGTTGGGATTATGAGACATACTAATTTTCTTATTTTTAAAATAATGAACACCTATTATTTTATTACTGACATGTATTTAAGAAGGCTATAGAAAAATTCAAAGGACTTTTATGGCTAATAACAAAAAGGATTTTTAATTACCCCTTTTTAAAAATTTTATTTCTTTTGCATCTACATAAGAAATGACAAAGGTTCATATAGGTAATGAGGTAGGTACTCCAGAGTTAGATCATCAGAACCAGTGAAGGTTAGTTGAGAAAACTGACTGCAGTTAGCTTGAAAAAGAGAAAGTTTAGGACACATTTTTATTGCTATCAAGTAATAAGGAGTTTTTGTATGGATCAAAAACGTAGACTTAATATATTTCTTCAGGTAGTTTCTATCCATTAGTGTACTTATGTATTAATCTGACTAACAATTTACTAAGTACAGGCTGTGCACTAAGTTGGAGGTTTTGGGGATACAAAAATAATTAATACTCATTTCCTGCCCTCCTTGAGCTGGTACCAGAACAAATATTTGGAAGTGATAATGTTACAAGTTACAATAGTTTCTAACTGTTGGAGCTGTCCAAGAAGAAAACGGGCAACTTAGAATGTTGGAACAGAGCCAACCTCACCATCTGTCCGAGATGCTCTAGAAAAAATTCTCCCATTGATAAGGTGATAAGACTAGATAAATTCTAAGATAACTACTGTAAGCCTAATATTCTGTTATCTATGCTTATATTCATGTTTGAATATACAACCTTCCTGAAACACCTCTCTCATTTATTAATGCTCTAAACCTGACCAAAGGACCCCCTTCCCACCACGTTTCTGGTCCTTCCTTCTCCTTCCCATCATCTTGTCCATTTTTCCCCTTGCCCTATTGAATGCTCTGGGAAGATCTGCAGTAAAACAGGGAAGGGAAGAAGATTAGGTGGTATGAGCTGTAAAGACTATACTCCTCGCCTGCTTTCCTCCACTTGACTCCTCCATTGCCAGCCATTTTGGAAGGCAGAATCTTGAATTTCCTTCTCATTTCCTCACTTAAGCTCCTTACTCTTCCTAAAAAGAAATGCTGCAGAAACTTAGAGTCCAGATTTTTTTTCCTAGAATGCAGATGGATTTTTCTTTCAATCCTTTATTTATCCAAACACCTTGGTCCTTCTCTACAGGGGTCACAGTGAGAAGAAATAATTAGAAAGAGGCAGCATGTACATATGACAGGAAGCCCTTCACTTCTTGTCCAACTTTTCGGTTGCTAAAGATAAAACTCTTAGAAAACTTTGGAGGAACTATGTGCTTGTGTCAGGGATAGGAGAACAAGGAAAGAAGTTTTTGTGTCTTTAATTTTATTTTATTATGTTAAGCACCATACATTACATCATTAGTTTTTGATGTAGTGTTCCATGATTCATTGTTTGCTTATAACACCCAGTGCTCCATGCAGTACGTGCCCTCTTTAATAGCCATCACCAGGCTAACCCATCCCCCATCCCCTCTCCCCTCTAGAACCCTCAGTTTGTTTCTCAGAGTCCATAGTCTCTCATGGTTCGTCTCCCATCTCCGATTTCCCCGCCTTCATTTTTCCCTTCCTGCTATCTTCTTCTTTTTTTTTTTAAAACATATAATGTATTATTTGTTTCAGAAGTACAGGTCTGTGATTCAACAGTCTTACACAATTCACAGTGCTCACCATAGCACATATCCTCCCCAATGTCTATCACCCAGCCACCCCATCCCTCCCACCCCCCACCACTCCAGCAACCCTCAGTTTGTTTCCTGAGATTAAGAATAAGGAAAGAAGTTTTGACTGTGTATTCTGTTGAACTATGGTCCTGGAATGAGTGAAACCCTGCCTAGAAACAGAAACATTCCATGGGTGCCTGGGTGGCTCAATCAGTTAAGCGTCTCCCTTCAGCTCAGGTCATGATCCCAGGATCCTGGGATTGAGCTGCTATGGGGGGCTCCCTGCTCAGCAGGAAGTCTGTTTCTCCCTCTCCCTGTGCCCGCCGCCCCCCCCCCCACCCCGGCTTGTGCGAGTGCTCTTCTCTCTCTCTCAAATAAATAAAATCTTAAAAAAAAAGGAAGAGAAAGGAACATTCTAGCCAATAAAAGAACCTAATAACAGAGCTCCAGCTGAGAACTCATATACCCTCATGAGGCCTCAGTTTCCCGTCTAATAGTTCTTTTTACCCCTTTCCCTGTCTTCTAGAATTCGTGTGTGTGTGTGTGTGTGTGTGTGTGTGTGTCTTCTAGAATTCTTAACTTCACTGCTATTCCTTTGTTCTAGAAGCTCCCCCCCCCCGGCCCCCGGGTAAGGGGGAGAGGGATGTGACTTTACCCTGGTTGAAATTCTGAATGCATTCTCAATCACAGACAGTTGCAGCTGGAAGTTAATGAATGTAAAAATAGAATTTTCAAAGTAAAGGGGGCTGAAAGAATCAGTATGTCCAGATCTCATTTGCAGATGAGAAAAGAGGTTCAGTGTGGTGAAGTAACCTGTTGATGGTCCTGCGTTGCTCAGGAACTGGAGGCATCGGTTTCTTTACGCTTTGCGCATTATCTCTGGAGTTCAACTCTGGAAGTTCCGCATCACACACTGTTTCTGTGTGATCTAGAGCAGCTCACAAAATCATTCTAAGGCTCATTTGACTCATCTTTATCATAAGATTGTTGTGAAGAGGGGCGCCTGGGTGGCTCAGTCGTTAAGCGTCTGCCTTCGGCTCAGGTCATGATCCCGGAGTCCTGGGATCGAGCCCCACATCGGGCTCCCTGC